AAATAAAAAAAGCTTTTGCAATGTTTGCAATCTTTCCCCAGAGAACGAAACAATAACATGCTGGTTGATATTAATTTCATCAAACGTCCCCTTTTCCTTCAGACTGTGATATTGTTAATATGTACCTTTTTCAGGATCATCACTTCTTCTTTCTTTTCTCTTCAAATTAAACCTGTAATAGGAAGTGATTGGAAGATTTCAAGGCGTGCCGACGGAGAAATTTGATTTTTTTTTTGTAATATCTATTGTTATTTTATACACATGTACCATACACCGAATCGGAATGTAGCGGCAAGCTAGAATGTTTTGACTAACTAGCTTTTCCCATGTAAAAGAGGCTAGTCAGTCCAGAACAATAGTTATTGAAATGGCCTATTTAAGTTATACTCGGTGTATTAAGTATTGTCATAATTATTATATTATGTACTTATTGACTGAGTGGGAGGGCCGTACGGAAAAATATTTGGTTCGAGGTGATGCCGTACGGACCGAGCGCAGTGAGGTCCGTGCAAATGACCGAGAGMCAACAATTTTCCCGTACGGCCCGACCTACCTCAGTCATTTTATCATATGACCCTCACGAAAAGAAAAATAATAAAAGAAAAGAAAGAAAATACGGTCGCAGGTCAAAGCCGTACGGCCCTGCTCACGCCATTTTCTCAAAGGTTTTTTAAGAGCGCGCGCCCGGGCAGATACGGGTCATATGATAAATATACTTATCAAAAATCCCCTTCAAAGCTGAAACCACTGAGAATCATTGGAACTTATCCATATCAAACAAGTAAGTTGGGAGTGACTCAAGTGACCTATCTTTATCAAAACTCCCAAATACCCCTTGACAGAAACAAATGGGAAACTAGGCGCTAATCTGTCGTGTGTAGACTGCATGTACCTAGTATGCATTTGGCTAGACAGGAATCGTTTTCAAAGTGTAATAGTTGTTCCCTAGTTCTTGGGGTGCAACCATGTTACGCAAATTCCCTCGAGATATAAATAACAATGAAACAGCCGCCATGTTGGTTGATCTAACGAAAGACGCGGACGAGAAATGCTTCGTTCTTAGAGGTTTTAGATTGCCTTTTTTCTCCCCGCAAACGACAAACGTGACGTTTTCATCGTTTTCCTGTATTTAACTTAACCTCTTGCAAACTTTCTCACCAAAGACAAATATTCTTTTGTTTTTCTACTAATKGGACTTTTTTGCGATTCTTTCTCAGCTATTTGAAACAATTTTTCACTGGTCAACTGACGTTTCACGTTTGCCGTGAACGTAAATCTAAAACTCTCTATTGTGAACAGACACATCGTGGCTATATGTATGTAACATTCATCCGAAGAATATATAAATATATTACAGCGCAACGCGTAAATTTATGACCACATTTAATGTATCCACATACTTCTATGCACGGATTTTGCCCTGCCAAACGAGCTTTTATACACGCCTTATTTGGTAAAACCAGCCAGCTTCGCATAGAAATGAGTCGGTGTAACGTACAAAAGCCCGTGCATAGAAGTATGCGAATACATTAAATGGGGTCATACTTTTGAACGTTGCCGTTGTAAGTTTGATAAGTTTTAGGAATTCAATGCACCATTCACCGAATAAGCTAGCTGCTCTTGTCAAAATAATCGACTCATATTCCTAAATTGCAGCCAAACCTTCATCAGTGTAACTAAACTCATATTGTGATGAATATTTGAAGGGTCTTTTTACTTTCGAAAACGTGGAAAGGAGGTAACGAAATGACTATATTAAATTATTTTGAGGTACGTTTCATTATCAAAAATATAAACCATTTGTTGTGGTAAAAATCTCAACACAAAATGAGTGTTTTCTTGGAGTCATTCATTCATTAGAAATGTAGGTCCCGTAATAACGCACAGCTTTCTTTATCATCTACACAGATAAATCAATAATGACTTTAAAAAAAACGTGTGCATATGCAAATCTTGATGTTATTATATATATTCACTTTTGATTTCATTAGAAAAAGAAATCTTGGTACTGTTTCGAATTCGTTGGTAAGGCCGGCGCGCTTGCAGGAGTGGGGAAATTATTGTTAGCTGAAGGGCGTTGATCGAGGGAGTAAGAGCAAGAATGATAGGAGTAAACTGAGAGTAGGTTAAAATCGTAGCCGGTAGGTAGGGAGGTAGATGGGTAGTTATGTGAGAGAATATGAAAGTTTTCGTAAAAGTTGTATGGATAAAAATGTCTCGATGTTAAATAATCTATATTTTAAGTGCATTTCAAATACAGCGTGTTAAAGATTGAAGACCGAGGGATGGTAGTTTGGGCAGGAGGGATGGGTAGGTTGAAATATAGACACTTAAAAGGGAAATTCGATTTTGGACAGAATTAAATTTTTTTATAGGATTAGAGGATTAAAATTTATAAAAACTTTCGGATTTAATTCAGTCAATCTAATATCTCCCTCGTACTCCCTCAATATATTTTATTTTTTATTGCACTAATTTGATTGACGGTCGTTGAAATGGTAGTCGGCGAAATAGATTGGTAATGTGACAGGCATTTTAATGAT